CCTCGACTTTTCCCTAATTCACTTCGTGGTTTTACTTTCTCAAGACTACTCAGCCTCCTACTACTAATCCACAATATATAGCGAATAGATACAATAAGACTCGAAACGCTGCACAAGAATTTCACAGGCTCACCCCTATTTACATGCCACGACTCAGAGCTTCTACCGATCGATTGGTTCAAGAAGCAATTCGAATGCACCCTCATCCTCATTTGGTTTACAGTATTCATATGGCCTACTGTAGGATACAAGGACTCAATGTCTACAACAATGCATTTCGACTTAGACCCAGACCTGTATGGGTAATTATTATTGATGGTCATCGTAATATTGTTTACGAAAGTCTTGTTAATTATGATGAAATTGATTACATGGACACTCCTTTCCATGGACTCAGCCGCCGAGATCTTCGAAATGCTAAAAGCTTTCTCTCTGTCCGCAATCAAATCATTGAAGTTTTCTTAACAGCTAAAGCTATCATTGGTGCTGGTCTTATTAATCTCCTGAGATCCCTCGACTTATCTGAACACGAGATTGAAATGCTTAAACCCAAATTGAGAGAATTAACACAATTCTTTTCACCTTATCCTCAAAGTGCTGCTTCTCTTGCTTTAGTTTCATTCTTACTATTCCCAGGTTTTACTATCAGAGCTGGTCCGCACTCTCCTGCTGTTGAAGCTCTGACTTCAATGAACTTATATCTTTGTTTTTGGGAAGATATTGAAGAAATGGCCCGACGCCATCGAGGTATTCATCATGCCAATGCAGTTGACACTTGCAGTAACCGTCATGTTGCAAGATTACTTCAAATTTACTCTGATAGAGTAAGAAGAGGAGAAGCACAATGGCCAAATGATTGGACGTACCATTACAGGAATGGTAATCCTGAATTCTCAAGCTCGAGATGTGTCTCTCCAAATTCTCAACCTCGCTCATCTCAATATAACTCAGATGATGACAACGTCTCTATTCATACTGCTAATTCATCTGAAGGTACCGTTGTTCCTCCTGATTTCCCTTTACTTGCTATTGAGAATCCTCCACAGGAAATCCCACTAATTGACTTAGAAGCTGAACCTGAAGTTCAACAGCCTGAACCACTTCCTGCACCTTACCCGGAACTACTATCTCCACCTCAGCCTGAACCTCAGCCCGAAATCTTGCCTGAACCTCAACCTGAAATCTTGCCTGAACCTCAGCCTGAAATCTTGCCTGAACCAATGCTCGAACCAAGGCCTGAAAGTCCACCAGTTCCTCAACAATTACATCAACAATTACATCAACAATTGTCTCAACAATCTCCTCCTTTGGTTCCTTATCAATCACATTCACCATCTCCGCCACAATCACCTCAGCCTTCACCTCAGCAAGCACCACAACCAATTATTCAACAATCTCCTCAACAGTCTCCTCAACAGTCTCCTCAACAGTCTCCTCAACAGTCTCCCCAACCTTCGCCTCCACCTCAGGAACCTCGAAGAATTCCATCTCCCATTCGTTCACCAAGTCCAACAGAAATTGGAATTCCTGGTCCACCACTTCCTGCACCCTCAGCTCTCTTATTTGAAGATAATGGAAATCTTCAAATACGTCAATTTCCACCTCCTTTTATTGAGTTACCTGCAGGTTCTTCAGCCTCTGAAACTTATTCATCAAGACAAAATTCTGAGTCTGAATCGGAAGAACTAACTGACAATGCATCTGAATTTCTTGAGAATTCTTCTATTGGTTCTGCTGAAACCATTTCGCCTAACAATTCTGCACCGCCGAGTTATGCTTCATCTGAATCTTCTGGATCTTCAATAAGAAGACAACAATATGAACAATATGCCCGGATTCAAGCCATGATTGCTGCTCTGCCTAATCCTTTCAGACCACCGCGCTCTTCTCAATCATCAATCTTTTCAGGACGACTCACTTTCACTGGATCATCATCGGATGCTACTCTCATTGATAGACCAATTTCAAGTTCTCAAATTCGTGATGATGTCTTCTATCCCTTGCGTCCTGCTTCAAGCTCTCGCTCACCCACTCCTGACAATCAAAACAATCCATAAACCCAGTTAACAAAAGACTTCATGGTCTTATTTCTGGGGCAATGAAGGGTAGAGATTTTGGTCTTCTATCAACTGCTCTATGAATTGTTTTAGTCTTTAACTTTTAACTTTTCATTTCATTTATTCTTATATTTAATCATATTTAGAGCTAAACTTTCTCAATCAGTCCATTCATTCGTATTGCTTTAACAATCTGAAATTAAGTATGGAGTATTCAAACTCTCTGAATTCAAACTAAACTTGTTCACTTTATGCCTTTTATTGTATTACAAATTCATAGTTCTGTGGAACTCTCATTTACATTATCCTGACCACAATCTGTCAATAATCTTTGTAAATCTCTCTTGAAATTTAAGCTTCATTTTTAAGTGTCAAAAAGTAAGAGATAGCAAATTCCCTTTCTTTAGGTTAACCAAATCAAGTCACCATTTTAATCCCTTTGTACATACAAAGGCTGAGATTACCAAGAAGGTAAAAAGTATTGTCTCAAGACATCATAGCTGGTGCTATCCAACTCAACCCGGATTGGTCATAGGCTTTAACAGTACTAATTGATGACATTGATACTAACCAGAAAGAAGACAAAGAAAGACAGAGTTTTTACGCTCCTTATGCTTATTCCCTCCAATTTCATTTCTTTTGTTTTAAGTTTAGGATAAAAGGAACACTCTTATGTTCTTTAATTCACTGTTCATTTGCTACTGTTACTACTCCATTATTTTAATAGACTTCAATGTCCTCAAATTCATCTAACTCTTATGTTACCAAGTTTTACTTCTAGTACAGTCACTTACAGTCAAACATTTTCCCATTTCAATTTTATATCAATAAAAGTTTTCATAAAGCTCTAACGAGTTCTTAGTTTGTTACTTTGTGAATCCTCTGGATACAACCTTAAGTCTACGCGACACTAAGGTATCAAGCCCTGAATAGTTGTATTCCATAGCTAAAGCTATCTCTTCATCTCTTCGAGATCTTCTCAGTAGTGTAATTGGTGATAGAAAGAATCATATTGCAGTGGATTGGATCCATGATACGACCCTCTAACTTGTAATGAAAGCGAGTTTAGCAATCTTCTTTCAGATCCTTGTTTGAGCAACCTTTCAAATTGTTTGCGTACTGAATGCAGATTTGAAGATGAAAACAGGAAACATTAGGATAAGCATCTGAATCAAGCAGAGCCATGATGAAGTGTTAGGTAAATTCTGGTAAAATGAGATACCGAAGGATCTAAAGGTTGCTGTAACCAATGCTCCAATTTTCAAATGTTTAACTGCAATCAATTCCAATATTAATATGACCAGAATAGATAATAATAAAGGAGTCACAGTGACTGATGTTAGACTTGAAACAACTGCTGAGTTGTCAAGATTCAGATTCCGTGTACTAAATATGTAGAAGTTTTCTTCTGCTATGACAGAACTAAAATAACCAGGAGCTTTTTGGGTATCCAACGATAATGGCAAAAAGCACAAATCAGCCTTCTGTAATTATAAATGAAAAATGCAAAGGGAACATCGAATTTATTATACCCACACTGAAAAGGAAAAATGTCAATAAAGAAAGGACGAAGGCCAAAACTGTCAAAGCTGAAAGAATTAGATTTCTCTGAGTTTTTTTTCGACCCTTTTTGAAATACAGAACAAGTACACTCTATTTCAAAAGTTTGGTCCTCAAATTCATTTTTAAATTTCTTTGCTAAAAATTGGAATAAATTAAATATTTTTTCAGGTTTAATAGCTTCAATGGCGGTGAATCATATGCTGAATCTTGTTTTTAAAAAAATAAATTCGTAACAATTAAAATTAGTTTTGAAAATTTTAACATTGAAATGGATTTTTCAAAAGTTTGGTCCACACTTGATTATCTAATCAACGAGTGCACAAAATTGCTTGAAATTTTTATAAAATCTTCCTCATTTGTTTGCAGTTGATTCATTAAAAGTTAGGTCTTTTTGCTAAATTCTGAAAAAAGTTATTCAAATTATTGTTTCATAATGGATTTCTATGGAAATTTCAGTTTTTT